GCACAGGGTGATGGGATCGGGGTCCTTGCACCCCAGGATCCCTCCCAGCCACAGCAGTTCATAGCACCCAGAGATGCCAATGCTCTGAGGCTGCCCTGTGCCCCTGCTGCTGTATGTTCTTGTTTGGAAATTTAGGGTCTTAAACGAGCCTTTTGCCATGTGTGTATTTGCCAGTGTGCCAGGCAGCACACATCCACGTTACTTTGCATGTCAGCCTGTGTGTCATCTGTGCCCAGCCTCTGTCAGCCTGCACCTTGGGGCAGCAAAGCACTCAGGGATGGTGCCTCTTCTCTACAGGGTCAGCCTCACCCCAGCACCAGGTCCCTTGTGTAAAACCCTGTGGGTCCTGCTGGCTTCCAAGACAGGAGGAGCCAGCTCTTCCCAGTGGATCATCCAGCTCTGTTCTCACTCCATCTCCTTTGCTTGGCTGCTGCTGGCAGAGCACACGGCAGATGCTCCTTGTGCTCTCCCAGTGAGCATCAGCAAATCCAGCCTCAGAGAGCAAGGAACCAGCAGGAACACGCACCCTGTGGTGCGGCACCAAGGACCTGCCTTGCTCCCCACAGCCCTTGTGCCCCAACAAGCTCGGGCTGTGCCGCTGCTGCTGGGACCAGCCACGGGGACAGCCAGCCCCAGACAAATGTGCCATTAACGCTGCCGCTGCGGCGGGGCGCGGCCCCGCGAGAGGGCCACCGCTGCTGCATGGGGAGCCTGGGGGGGCTGCGGCCCACAGCATCCTGCAGCAGTGGGGGGACCTGCTGGGTGAAGCTCTGGGTGGTGGGCATGGGGTGCCTGTGAGTGTGGGGGTCCCTATGGAACGCGCGCAGCCGCAGCGCCCGGGGAGGCAGACTCACGGAGCAGATACTCGGCCGTGTCTTGCTCGTAATCAGCATCCTCGGGGAAGTGGTCGATTTTCTTGCACACGCCTCGGAAGGTCCCTGGGGAGACACAAGCAGAAACCCTCAAACCTCTCTGCTGGCAGGAGCCGCCGGATGCGCTGCCAGCGACCACAGGCACTGCCCTCGGTCCCCAGGGACAGTTTGGTGCCCGGCGGCTCATGCACCCCCAGTGCCCTCCAGTGCGGCTGCACATTCACATCCCGCACTAAGCCCCGTCACAACACCCCTGCTGAGCTGGGAGGAGATGCCCAAACTGCCCTGGTCCCCCCACAGCCCCCGGCAGAGCCTCTCCGTGCTGCAGCTCCTGCTCCATCCATGTGGTGAAGGGGAGGCGAAGCAGGGCAGGCACTCACTCAGCAGCAACCAGGCAAGCCCCCATCAGACAGCAAATCAACCTCCTGTCCTTCAGGTCAGACCAACACCTCGTTCAGCTGCACTGGGGACAGGGCTGCAGCCCAGGGCTCCTTTGGGATGTCGGGATCATACAATCACATAAATCCTGCTGGGTGACAGCAGCACTGGGGTCAGGGTGACTGATCCAGCAGAGCCCCTGCCCCAGCAGTGCAGCACTGAGTAACCAGCCTGGTCCTCCCAGTTTGGCTCCTTGGAGACACAAAGGAGCAGCTTGGATTTACTGCTGACCCACAAGGGCAGGGCACATCCGAGGAGCCTCAGCACGTTTGCTCAAATAACATCTGGGCCGCAGCTTAACTTCCGAGATGAGATTATTTTGGAGGCACAGATGAGTCATTTAAATGACTTACAAAGAGTTCCCATCCTGCTCGCCCTTCCTGCCACTTCCCAGCCCCGCTTCCCGCCCGGAACACCACTGCTGGGCAGAGCAGAGCCAGGAGAAGGTCACCCTGATGAGCAGTCTGTACCCCACATCCAGCCACACGTCCCCTGCAGCAGCCCCAGGCATGGCCATGGACGAGCCACCTCCACTCTCCTGCTCGTGGGTCCCCACAGTACAGCTCTGGATTGGGGGTGAGAACATCCCCACTGCAGTGGGCACCAGCAGCACTGACTGTAAGGCCTGGGGAAGGAGGCAGATGCTCTGGCATCTGCTGGCCTCCCACTGAGCTTTTGGGGGAGAAAAAGGCTCTTTTTCTATGGCTTTTTTTGTCCCCCCCCCCGCCCCTGAAGCAAACCAAACACCTTTCGCCTTTAAGCTCCCGCCTGTTTGCTTTGGCTTTCTCCTCGCTGCGCTTTCGGGCTCAGCTCTCTCCTGTGCCAAAGCCATGCAGTTGTGCCACGAGAGGAAAAAGCCAAGGAAAAGCCAAGGATGAGGTAGGCTCCAGTGAACTATGTCCTGTGGCCTTAGCGCCATGCTGCAAAACATGGATATGGGGTGTTAATGGCCGTGTCCAGGGTTGGGAGAACCTCATGCTTCAGATGGGTTCATGGGTCTGGCTGTGAATGGGCTCTTGCTTCTTCTGCTCATCCACCCACCAGCCTCAGCAGCCTGGTCCGTGCTGGACAGGCAGGGGGAAACTAACGGCATTAAAAACTAGGGAAGAAGTCCTGGCTCTGCGCAGTTGCACAGATCCGTGAGGATCTGTCATGATGGATGCAGCCATCACCTCCTGCAGATGCCGTGAGCCTGCTCCTCACCACAGCCTGCCAAGGCCCCATGTACCGCACTCAGTGACTGCTGGGGATGGCTCAGAGCTTGGCTCGTGCCATGGAGAGGGATGGGAACACGGCTCCTCAGGGCCCAGGGTGTTTGCCTCTGCCTGCGGGATTCATGGATCTGCCTTCTCCAGAGCAAGCAGCAAACGCTAACGCAAGAGCAGGCTCGATGCTGCCTCTGTGGTGCTGACAGATGCTGTCCTCAGTGTTATAAATGGGGCAACTGAGGCACAGAGTGCTGCTTCCCAGCAGTGCAAAGGGGCAGAGTGAGGTGGAGGAATTCCTGCAGCATCTAAACAGAGGAAGGGCAACCCCTTACAGCACCCGAGCACATGGTCAGGTCAAGCCGGGTCTGTCCCTTCTCCTATGGGACCAGAAAGGACGTGATGCCAGGGGACAGGGCTCCAGGCAGGAGAAGCCAACCGGCTCGGTGTCCCACATGGCAGCACCCTGTCGCCCTGCGCCCTGGCTATGGGCTCGGGGGAGCTGAGCATCGTGACAGGCATCAATTACAGCGTGGAGATGAAGCTCTGGAGGTGGCAAGCTGTCATCCGAGAGGGAGACACAGCAACCGAGGGAGAGCCGCCTGCTCCCGTTGCTTTGGGAACTGCGGGCGAAGGGGAGGTTGAAAACCAGCACCACGAATGGGGCTGGGGAGGCAGCGGGCATGGCGAGGACGGCAGCTGCATGGCACAGCCCAGCCTCCTCATCATCCTCCTCTTCATCTTCCTCCTCTCCCTTTCAGGTTTCTGCCCACCTTCTCCACCCTCCCCCTGGTACCTGCCAGCAGGGCTCTGCCCCACGCACCCCACAGCCGCGTCCCACGTCTGTTCCTTTGCTCTCCAGCCATTGGGCACAGAGTGGGGCTGTGCCGACCCACAGCACCCCAGAACACCCCAGCACCCTGAAGCACAACCTGCTGTGGTGGGTCAGATCTGTCTTCTCCCACTTGGAATGGCTGCAGAGCTGCTGTCAGCGTGCAGGACACAGCAAGAGCTTCCCAGAGGCACCATGTCCCTCTGCAGCAGGCTCGTTGCTTCGTGGGGCCATCATTCCTTATCTGACCAGAGAGAGGAAGCTCTCCCCTAGTGCCATGCAGGAACAGAGTCCGTGGCCTGTGTGAGCCCATCAGCACAGTGTGCAAGTGAAGATACTGATGTCCTTGGGCTGGAGCTCAGAAGCTCTCTAAGGCCCCCTGTGCTGCTGAGCCTGCGCTGAAACCCAGCACTGGGCTGGGGGGCCTGACCCGCACAACCCTGCCCTGAGCAGCAGCAGCAGAGCCAGGACCCCCAGGTCCTCAATTCTGCCATACACGATGTCTAAGATAAATCTGATGTGAGGGACAAGGGCAAACCTTGGAGCAGGAGACACCTGTGAGCACAGGGGATGCCCTGTTCGGATGCAAACACTCCCTGCTCCATCAGTGTGGGCACGCTGCTCATCCCTCTCTCCTACAGCAGGGACCACACAGAACCACACTGCATCTGCTCTGTCTCATCAGTATCTGCAACCTCTCCCCTTCCTTCAGCCCTGCTGGTCCCAGCCAGACAACTTCCTTGTGACAGAAATGGGAGGGGGTTAAAAAATACATGTCATAGAATCACATCATGGTTTGTGTTGAAGGGACCATAAAGCTCCTCCAGCTCCAGGGACACCTCCCACTAGAGCAGGTTGCTCCAAGCCCCGTCCAGCCTGGCCTTATGAAACAGATGAAATCAAGGTAGCAGCGTTGCTGCTGCCCAGCTTGGCCCCCCAAAGCAAAGGGACCCCCAGCCCATGAAGGGCTGCAGCCCCACACACGCAGGGGCCGGGCTCTGGGGGCAGCCCCGCTGCCTGCCCAGCTCCGCAGCATCTATTTCACGCTCTGACATTTGTTTTGGCTCCTTTACTCCCTCTGTTCATTAACTGATGCTCGTTGCCATGGCAACCGCTGAGTCACCTGACACACAACTTCCCAGCCTCCAAACAAATACCACAACAGGCTTAAACCACGGAACGCACCCCCTGACCCCACAGATGCTCCCGAGGATGGGGCTCTGCCACTTGCACCCCATGGCACAGCCTCAGCCTGCGGACCCTGGCGATAGCAGCTTCCCTGCCCTGGCCTCATGGCTGGGCCCTGGCAAAGCAGCTGCACAACAAACTTCACAGGCATAAAGGAAGCGGGTTTTGTCCCAGTTCTCCTCTCTGGAGCCTTCTTCCTCTGCCCATGTTTTCTTATCAAGGACTCGAGGCAGAGGCGATGCTGGATCTCTTGTTCCTCTGCCAGAACCAAGGCTGTGGCTGTGAGCTCTGGCATGAGATGCTCCTGGCTCAGCCTCTCATGATGCCTATCCTGGGTGGCTCCATTGCCTATCCTGGGTGGCTCCGTGCCCCTTTGCCAGCACCCAGCCACAAGCCCTTGGCCTGGGCACGGCACCCAGAGCAGCTCGTGCCATACAGACGCCATCCCCTTTGCCAGTGCTCGGCTCCTCTCCCTTCGCAGGAGGAAAGGGAGAGCTTTGACACATCCCAGCCTGCTCGGAGCGATGCCCATGGCTGCGTGCATCGGTCACGGCACCGTGGGTTCAATTCATCTGCTGTCTGGGGGAGCACAAGCAAAGGCAGAGGCTGCAGCTCTTCACCCCCGTCAGCCGTCCCTGGTGGATGTGGGTAATTGTCTCTCTCTATCAGTGTGAATCCTGATTAGCCAACTTGGCTTATCGCTGCTTTCCCTTCCTGAGCAGCTCTGCTCACAGCTGCTCCAGAGCTGGGAAGCGGGGCTGTGCCAGGAGCCCCGTTCCATCAGCGCTGCCTCCCCTCGCCCTCCCCAGCACAGGACGGCTGCTGCTTTCGCTGTTTCTGTCCCAAGGAACCAGACCTGCCCGTTCCCTCCTCCAGAACACACGGGGCACATCCAGCACACAAGGCAATCAATGAGCTCAGCCGCCCATGCGAGCACACACTGTGGCGTTCCCAGATGCACAGACAGGGATGGTCCCCAGCCAACAGGCACCAGTAAGGAGCCACGGAAACAATGGGTTGAAGCAGCTGGACAAGGGCCAGCCACAAAACCTGCAAGATAATCCTGTGCCACGTTACACAACGCTCCCATTCCGCTTCCCTCCTCTCTTTTGAGAGGAGCATCCGCGGCTGCACAACCCGCTGCTGCCTCGGTGCTCTCCCATGGCCAGTGCTGCTGCCAGCCCCGGGAGCAGGAGCACTGATGCCAGCTGGGACAAGTGTGTCCCTCAAACAGTGACTGTGCAGCACAGCACTGTGCTCCCTGTGCAGCCTGGGTTAAAACCTCCCCCTGTCACTGAGAGCTGAGCAGCTCCCGACCATCCCACAGCTGCAGGCGCAGCTCCAGCACCTTCCCCATGGATCACCAAGGAGGAGCCCCCCACCCCTCCTGCTCTGGGGAGTGC